AGAAGTTGTTGCAAAACCAGATGTGTGTAGTCAATCAGATGATGTGTCACATACTTACCCTGAAGTTTTTCCCGCATGCGCTGTCACTCGCGCTCAGTCGCGTAAAGTGGGTGATATGGTGGATTTGTCTGACTCTGTTTTTATCCCTCTTCTTGCTGGTGACGAATCATTGTGCACTGTTACGTCATCAAAAATAGATAAATCACAGTCAGAGAAAATGAGAGAAAATGTGTCTGACGCACCAGAATTGAAAATGTCCGTGTCACGAGAGAAAATTATTTCTGCACAGAAAGAAGATAAATCTCTCATTACTGCTTTTAATTCTGCTGTCTCTCTTGAGGTAGCTAAAAATCAGAAAGTTGCTTATTTTCTTGAGAATGAGTTATTGATGAGAAAGTGGTGTTCTAGCACAAACGATTCAGATTGGAATGTTGTGTATCAGGTGGTCATTCCTTCTCCTTATCGTCAGCATGTGTTATGTTTAGCGCATGATCATCAGCTTGCCGGTCACTTAGGAATTACGAAAACGTATGATAGGATTTTACAGCACTTCTTTTGGCCAGGCTTGAAGAAGGATGTTGCTCAGTACTGTCGTACTTGTCACACATGTCAAACTGTTGGGAAGCCGAACCAGGTGATTCGTCCTGCTCCACTGTTTCCCATACCAGCAATCGGGGAGCCGTTCGAGCATGTGCTCATAGACTGTGTTGGGCCGTTGCCTAAAACAAAATCGGGTAACCAGTTTTTGTTTACCATAATGTGCATGTCTACTAGGTTTCCAGAGGCAATTCCACTGAGAAAAATCACCGCACCCGTTATTGTCAAAGCATTAGTGAAGTTCTTTTCCACTTTCGGTCTTCCGAAAATAGTACAAAGCGATCAGGGCACAAATTTTTTATCAAGACTTTTTAAACAAGTGCTGGAGTCTTTAGAAATTTCTCACCGAGTTTCAAGTGCGTACCATCCACAAAGCCAGGGCGCACTTGAACGCTTTCACCAGACACTTAAGTCGATGCTTAAGAAGTACTGCATGGACACTGCTAAAGACTGGGATGAGGGGGTTCCCTTAGTATTATTCGCGGTAAGAGAGACTGTACAAGAATCTCTTGGTTTCAGTCCAGCCGAACTTGTATTCGGACATCAGATGAGAGGACCTTTGAAAGTTTTTAAAGAACACATTTTGACCACTGTTTCAAGTCCTCACACGAATGTACTGGATTATGTGAGTAAGTTTCGAGATCGTTTGCATACTGCTTGGTCACTAGCTAAAGAATCTCTAGGAAATGCTCAGAAAAGCATGAAGCGCAAGTATGATCAGAGAGCAGTTGCGCGTTCGTTTTCAGCCGGTGATAAAGTGTTGGTGCTTTTACCTGTTCCAGGATCATCTTTGTCCGCCCGTTTCTTTGGTCCTTATGTGGTGAAACAGAAAATGAGTGAAACTGACTATGTGCTTTACACACCTGACAGAAAACGTCAAACCCGAGTTTGTCACATAAACATGCTAAAAGCTTACCATGACAGGGAGATGCCTGAGGTGAAAACTTCAGAGGAGACTGCAGGGCCCGCTGTCTCATCTGTCGCATTAGCCGTGGATCTGTTAAAACCTGTTGATATCTCGGGGGCTGACGAGGATGGGGTCGTGCTTCGCAATGCTCCTCAGCAGTGTGCAAGGTTAGCTAATTCCGAGATTTTAAAAGATCTTCACTCGTATCTGAATCATTTAACTCCTGACCAGAGAACTGACATTGTTAAAATAATATCTGATTTTAACTGTCTGTTTAGTGATGTTCCTAAACAAACAAATGTTTTACAACATGATATTGTTGTAAATGATGCTCGTCCTATTAAGCAACATGCTTATCGCATAAATGCAGTCAAGAAATCTGTTATGCGTCAAGAAGTGAATTATCTGCTTGAGAATAATTTAGCCAGGCCTAGTTGCAGTCCCTGGAGTTCTCCGTGTCTTCTCGTTCCTAAACCTGACGGCACGTATAGATTTTGTACGGATTTCCGTAAAGTGAACGCCGTAACGGTGCCAGACAGTTATCCGTTACCGCGAATGGAAGACTGTATTGATAATCTTGGGTCTGCTCGCTTTGTTACAAAGCTGGATATGCTGAAAGGGTACTGGCAGGTACCACTTACTCCACAAGCGTCAGATATCTCAGCATTTGTAACACCAGACAAGTTCCTCCAATACACAGCGATGGCTTTCGGACTCAGAAACGCTCCAGCCACCTTTCAGCGTCTTGTAAATATCGTCTTAGCTGATGTACCGAATTGCAATGCGTATCTTGATGATTTAGTTTTATATTCAGTGACTTGGAAGGAACATGTGTGCTTGTTGAGAACTGTGTTCGAACGTCTACGTGCAGCTAACTTAACTCTCAACTTGGCAAAGTGTGAGTTTGGTCGAGCGACTGTCACTTATCTGGGTAAAGAGGTTGGACAAGGCCAGGTACGACCAGTGGAGGCTAAGGTTACCGCTATTGCAGATTTTCCAGTCCCTACCACTCGACGACAGTTGCGAAGATTTCTAGGTATGGCTGGTTATTACCGCAGTTTCTGTAAAAACTTCTCAACCGTTGTTACTCCTCTCACCTCGTTGCTTAGTCCATCTAAACTTTTTAAATGGTCTGTGGAGTGTCAGAATGCTTTTGATTGTGTCAAAATGCTTTTATGTAATGCACCTGTTCTCGTTGCACCTGATTGTACGCATACTTTCAAGCTTGAGGTCGATGCCAGTGCTGTTGGAGCAGGAGCTGTTCTTCTTCAGGAGGATACCCATGGTATAGATCATCCTGTGAGTTATTATTCCCGTAAGTTTAATAAACATCAGCTTAACTATTCTACCATTGAAAAAGAAGCACTTGCTCTCTTGCTTGCTCTCCAGCATTTCGAAGTTTACCTCGGTTCCAGTAGTCTTCCTATCACAGTCTTCACCGATCATAACCCTCTAGTGTTTTTATCCAGGATGTACAATCAAAACCAGCGTTTGATGCGCTGGGCTCTAGTACTCCAGAATTATAATTTGGAGATCAAGCACAAAAAGGGTGTTGATAATGTTTTGGCTGACGCTCTTTCGAGAGTGTAAAAATATTGTCTGTTTTAACTTGTTTTTCACAAACAGGTTTGCTCTTAAGGGTGGGAGTGTTACGTCCCTGTGGTTCCGCGTATGTGTTTTCTTTTGGTTTCTCTTTCTCTGCTATCACCTTCTTAGGTGTGCGTCCTCACTCATCTGCTGTTGGCTGGGAGAGATGTCAATCATCATTACATCGTGACGTCATCTCCTTCCCGCCGCCTATCAAGTTCAACACTCGAGTTTAAAGGGAAGCGGGAGAGGAACGCATGTCGGCTTGCTTTCTTTTCTGTCGCTTTGCTTGCCGCCTTTGTGTTTATTTTCCGTTACAGATATTGTCCTGTTGTTTTTTCTTTCTGCCATGACGGCGTGTTTTGAGATTACCAAGTGTAATGTGTTTTGCCATGACGGCGTGTTTTGAGATTACCAAGTGTAATGTGTTCTGCCATGACGGCGTGTTTTGAGATTACCAAGTGTAATGTGTTTTGCCATGACGGCGTGTTCTGAGATTGCTAAGAGTAATGTGTTCTGCCATGATGGCGTGTTTTGAGGTTACCAAGAGAAATTCGGACAGGTAATATGTCACGTGACGTACACAAAGCAACACTTAGCAAACTCGATGTATACAAACCCCAGGTAGGGAAGTGAACGCCACCCATGGATGTTTTGTTATTAGTTAGAACAGCTAGAGAGGGCGCTTAGGCGCTGAAGATTACTGTCTTTTCTTTTCTTTTTGTTATTAGTTAGTAAGAGGTTGGGACTAGATAGTCGGAGTTTGTTTTGTTTCTTTCTTTTATTTGGCGTCACTATTTATGTCCTTATTCTCTTGGGTTGTTTATTTTTTTGAACTCTCAATCTGTTTATATTTTGTTTATTTTCTTGGTGTCCACAAATATATTTATCATCATTATTATTATTGTCCATCTTTTGCATTTACACTTCAAGTACAATAAACCGTACTTTATTTTCTTTCATAATACTTTGTTGTGTCGTCTCTTGCCACCTTAAATACACCATCTTCTGGTCACGACCTCAATGTTGCCCCTTTAAAGACCTTTTGTCTAAGGGTGCGTAACACTATCTATCTATCTATCTATCTATCTATCTATCTATCTATCTATCTATCTATCTATCTATCTATCTATCTATCTATCTCTCTTTTTAACTAATCTTTCATTCTTTCTAACTAATCTTTCATTCTTTCTAACTAATCTTTCTTTCTTTCTAACTAATCTTTCTTTCTTCTAACTAATCTTTCATTCTTTCTAACTAATCTTTCTTTCTTTCTAACTAATCTTTCTTTCTTCTAACTAATCTTTCTTTCTTTCTAACTAATCTATCTTTCTTTCTAACTAACCTTTCTTTCTTTCTAACTAATCTATCTTTCTTTCTAACTAATCTATCTTTCTTTCTAACTAATCTTTCTTTCTTCTAACTAATCTATCTTTCTTTCTAACTTTCTAACTAATCTATCTTTCTTTTTAACTAATCTTTCTTTCTTTCTAACTAATCTATCTTTCTTTCTAACTAATCTTTCTTTCTTTGTAACTAATCTATCTTTCTTTCTAACTAATCTTTCTTTCTTCTAACTAATCTATCTTTCTTTCTAACTTTCTAACTAATCTATCTTTCTTTCTAACTAATCTTTCTTTCTTTCTAACTAATCTTTCTTTCTTTCTTTCTAACTAATCTATCTTTCTTTCTAACTTATCTTTCTTTTTTATTTCTAACTAATCTCTTTCTTTCTAACTAATCTATCTTTCTTTCTAACTAATCTATCTTTCTTTCTAACTAATCTATCTTTCTTTCTAACTAATCTTTCTTTCTTTCTAACTAATCTATCTTTCTTTCTAACTTATCTTTCTTTCTTTCTAACTAATCTATCTTTCTTTCTAACTAATCTTTCTTTCTTTCTTACTAATCTATCTTTTTTTCTAACTAATCTATCCATCTTTCTTTCTAACTAATCTATCGTTCTTTCTTTCTAACTAATCTATCTATCTTTCTTTCTAACTAATCTATCTTTCTTTCTAACTAACCTTTCTTTCTTTCTAACTAATCTATCTTTCTTTCTAACTAATCTATCTTTCTTTCTAACTAATCTTTCTTTCTTCTAACTAATCTATCTTTCTTTCTAACTTTCTAACTAATCTATCTTTCTTTCTAACTAATCTTTCTTTCTTTCTAACTAATCTATCTTTCTTTCTAACTAATCTTTCTTTCTTTGTAACTAATCTATCTTTCTTTCTAACTAATCTTTCTTTCTTCTAACTAATCTATCTTTCTTTCTAACTTTCTAACTAATCTATCTTTCTTTCTAACTAATCTTTCTTTCTTTCTAACTAATCTTTCTTTCTTTCTTTCTAACTAATCTATCTTTCTTTCTAACTTATCTTTCTTTTTTATTTCTAACTAATCTCTTTCTTTCTAACTAATCTATCTTTCTTTCTAACTAATCTATCTTTCTTTCTAACTAATCTATCTTTCTTTCTAACTAATCTTTCTTTCTTTCTAACTAATCTATCTTTCTTTCTAACTTATCTTTCTTTCTTTCTAACTAATCTATCTTTCTTTCTAACTAATCTTTCTTTCTTTCTTACTAATCTATCTTTCTTTCTAACTAATCTATCCATCTTTCTTTCTAACTAATCTATCGTTCTTTCTTTCTAACTAATCTATCTATCTTTCTTTCTAACTAATCTATCTTTCTTTCATTCTAACAAATCTATCTATCTTTCTTTCTAACTAATCTATCTTTCTTTTTTTCTAACTAATCTTTCTTTCTTTCTAACCAATCTATCTATCTGTAACGAGGTGCGGTGAAGGAAGATAGGAGGCTGGATCCAAACGCAGTTTACACGCTTTATTTAAACAAACTAGAACTCAAACAGAGACTCAGAACGTGGAACAAGAACGACCAACACTCACGTTAATCCTGAAACATATATAACAACTCACAAAGACAGGGCAGAAACACAGGGCTTAAATAATCAAGAACAAACGAGCTAACAGGATAACAAGGGGGCGTGGGAAAATCAGAACACCTGGAAAAACTAATGACAAGACAGGGAACCACTAAACATGACATTATGACATAACCCCCCCCTTAAGGGCGGCTCCTGACGCCCAAACAAAAAAAAACCCCAAAAAAGTTCAGGAGGGCGGTGAAGCACAGGCGGTCTTGGGGGAGGGATGGAGGGCCAGGCCCGTGCAGGGGAACGGGACCAGGACCTAGGCAAGGCGGGCCTGGGCCGCAGAGCGTGGGCGGACCAGACTGGGCCGGTGGCCAGGGCGGAGCCGGACGAGGCGAAGGCCAGGGCGGAGCCGGACGAGGCGAAGGCCAGGGCCAGGGCGGAGCCGGACGAGGCGAAGGCCAGGGCGGAGCAGGACGAGATGGCGGCCATGGAGGTGAAGCCTCCTCGGGTGGCCATGGTGGAGAGGCCCTTATGGTCTCCTCACCGGACCCTTGGCCCCCCCCCAAAAAATACTTGGGGAAATCCACGGGTTCAGGAAAGCCCTCCCGGAGCTTGAAGGGCGCAGGCAGGGCGAGGCGCAGAGGCGGGGCCGGCAGGGCGAGGCGCAGAGGCGGGGCCGGCAGGGCGAGGCGCAGAGGCGGGGCCGGCAGGGCGAGGCGCAGAGGCGGGGCCGGCAGGGCGAGGCGCAGAGGCGGCGCAGGCAGGGCGAGGCGCAGAGGCGGGGCCGGCAGGGCGAGGTGCAGAGGCGGGGCCGGCAGGGCGAGGAGTCTGGGAACGCCCTCCGGAGCCTGGCGAGCCAAACGAGTCCTCCCTCTCTTCCTTCTGCGACGGCGCTTCACTGGGCTGGATTCACTTGACTTGGAACTGGACTCACTTGACTTGGAACTGGACTCACTTGACTTGGAACTGGACTCACTTGACTTGGAACTGGACTCACTTGACTTGGAACTGGACTCACTTGACTTGGAACTGGACTCACTTGACTTGGAACTGGACTCACTTGACTTGGAACTGGACTCACTTGACTTGGAACTGGACTCACTTGACTTGGAACTGGACTCACTTGACTTGGAACTGGACTCACTTGACTTGGAACTGGACTCACTTGACTTGGAACTGGACTCACTTGACTTGGAACTGGAGTCACTGGACTCACTTGACTTGGAACTTGACTCACTTGACTCACTTGACTTGGAACTTGACTCGGCGGAACTTGACTCACTGGAACTTGACTCACTTGACTCACTTGACTCGGCGGCACTTGACTCACTTGACTCGGCGGCACTTGACTCACTTGACTCGGCGGCACTTGACTCACTTGACTCGGCGGCACTTGACTCACTTGACTCGGCGGCACTTGACTCACTCGACTCGTTCGCGCCGGCTGGCACGCGTTCAAACTTCGGTTCGGCTAGCGAAACCTCCGCCGCGGTTTCTGGATTAGCAAAATCAACAGGACCAGTGCGGAATATGGGCTCGAGGGGTCCGACACGAAGAGTGGGTTTGGCGGAGCAGATGTGCAGCGCGGGTTCGGCTGAGCAGACATGAAGCGCGGGCTTGAGGAGCGCGGGTTCGGCTGAGCTGAAGTGAAGCGCGGTCTCTCGCCGCTTCTCCTCCACGCCCACAGTAAATGATGAACCGCTCCTGAAGAGGGCCAGGTTGACATACCCCTCCAGGGTCCAGCTGGTACAGTCATCCGGCATTAACTGGGCAACGTCCTCGTCCAACCCGCTCCAAAACAAGTCCATGAGCTCGAGGTCTTCTAAAGCCCCCAGACGACAGCACGACATAAAATCCCTCACGTACCTCTCGATGGACTGGCCTTCCTGGAATATCGAGGCAAGGAAACTTCTGAGGGCCTGGTTGCTGACAACTGTGGGAGCGACTGCTGGATCCATTTTGCGGTGAGTTGTTCTGTAACGCGATGCGGTGAAGGCAGATAGGAGGCTGGATCCAAACGCAGTTTACACGCTTTATTTAAACAAACACACTTAAACAGAGACTCGGAACTTGGAACAGGAACGACCAACACTCACGTTAATCCTGAAACACATATAACAACTCACAAAGACAGGGCAGAAACACAGGGCTTAAATAATCAAGAACAAACGAGCTAACAGGATAACAAGGGGGCGTGGGAAAATCAGAACACACTCTCTCGCACTGTCGAGCGCGCGCTCGGACACACTCGGTCTCTCTCGCACTGTCGAGCGCGCGCTCGGACACACTCGGTCTCTCTCGCACTGTCGAGCGCGCGCTCGGACACACTCGGTCTCTCTCGCACTGTCGAGCGCGCGCTCGGACACACTCGGTCTCTCTCGCACTGTCGAGCGCTCGCTCGGACACACTCGGTCTCTCTCGCACTGTCGAGCGCGCGCTCGGACACACTCGGTCTCTCTCGCACTGTCGAGCGCTCGCTCGGACACACTCGGTCTCTCTCGCACTGTCGAGCGCGCGCTCGGACACACTCGGTCTCTCTCGCACTGTCGAGCGTGCTCGCGGACACACTCGGTCTCTCTCGCACTGTCGAGCGCGCGCTCGGACACACTCGGTCTCTCTCGCACTGTCGAGCGCTCGCTCGGACACACTCGGTCTCTCTCGCACTGTCGAGCGCGCGCTCGGACACACTCGGTCTCTCTCGCACTGTCGAGCGTGCTCGCGGACACACTCGGTCTCTCTCGCACTGTCGAGCGCGCGCTCGGACACACTCGGTCTCTCTCGCACTGTCGAGCGCGCTCGCGGACACACTCGGTCTCTCTCGCACTGTCGAGCGTGCGCTCGGACACACTCGGTCTCTCTCGCACTGTCGAGCGCTTGCTCGGACACACTCGGTCTCTCTCGCACTGTCGAGCGCGCTCGCGGACACACTCGGTCTCTCTCGCACTGTCGAGCGCGCGCTCGGACACACTCGGTCTCTCTCGCACTGTCGAGCGCGCGCTCGGACACACTCGGTCTCTCTCGCACTGTCGAGCGCTCGCGGACACACTCGGTCTCTCTCGCACTGTCGAGCGCGCGCTCGGACACACTCGGTCTCTCTCGCACTGTCGAGCGCGCGCTCGGACACACTCGGTCTCTCTCGCACTGTCGAGCGCTCGCGGACACACTCGGTCTCTCTCGCACTGTCGAGCGCGCGCTCGGACACACTCGGTCTCTCTCGCACTGTCGAGCGCGCGCTCGGACACACTCGGTCTCTCTCGCACTGTCGAGCGCTCGCGGACACACTCGGTCTCTCTCGCACTGTCGAGCGTGCTCGCGGACACACTCGGTCTCTCTCGCACTGTCGAGCGCTCGCTCGGACACACTCGGTCTCTCTCGCACTGTCGAGCGCTCGCGGACACACTCGGTCTCTCTCGCACTGTCGAGCGCGCTCGGACACACTCGGTCTCTCTCGCACTGTCGAGCGCGCGCTCGGACACACTCGGTCTCTCTCGCACTGTCGAGCGTGCTCGCGGACACACTCGGTCTCTCTCGCACTGTCGAGCGCGCGCTCGGACACACTCGGTCTCTCTCGCACTGTCGAGCGCGCGCTCGGACACACTCGGTCTCTCTCGCACTGTCGAGCGCGCGCTCGGACACACTCGGTCTCTCTCGCACTGTCGAGCGCTCGCGGACACACTCGGTCTCTCTCGCACTGTCGAGCGCTCGCGGACACACTCGGTCTCTCTCGCACTGTCGAGCGCGCGCTCGGACACACTCGGTCTCTCTCGCGACCAAGGCTGCATTTATATAGGCCTATATATATATATATATATATATATAAAACGAATATTCTGAAATTATTAGACTTTAAAACGGCGGTTTTCTATGTGAATATATAGTAAAGTGTAATGTATTCCTGTGATCAAAGCTGAATTTTCAGCATCATTACTCCAGTCTTCAGTGTCACATGATCCTTCAGAAATCACTATAATATGATGATCTGACTGAAATATTATTATCAATGTTGAAAACAGTTGTGTGCAATCTGTTTCCAGGATTCTTTGATGAATAGAAAGTTCGAAAGAACAGCATTTATTTTGTAACATTATAAATGTCTGTAACTTTTGATCAATTTATCAATCCTTGATGAATAAAAGTATTGATTTATTTTATTTATTTCCCCCAAAAATTAAAATAAAAATTCTTACTGACCTCAAACTTTTGAATGGTAGGCTAGTGTTTAATGTTACAAAAGGTTATATTTCAGATAAATGCTGTTCTTCTGAACTTGCTATTCATCAAAGAATCCTGAAATAAAAACTGTAAAAAAAAACTGTTTTCAACACTGATAATAATCATAAATGTTTCTTGAGCATCAAATCATCATATTACAGTGATTTCTGAAGGATCATGTGACACTGAAGACTGGAGTAAAGACTTCTTTTAAAAATTTTAAAGGCTTATCGATCCAAAACTTTTGAACGAAATGTGTAAATATATAAACGGTTGAATTATCATGTGAGCAATCCCAATAGTGTATGTAGGAGTAAATGCTGAGTAATAATGATGGTATGAATGACAGTTTGAGTAATAATAGACGCTTTCTTTAATCCAAACAGACTTCAACCAGGCGAAGAAGAGGCAAGTGGCCACGCCCCGCAAATCAGGACAATAACACACTCTGTGGTTGTGTGTGTGTGTGTGTGTGTGTGGTTGTGTGTGTGTGTGTGTGGTTGTGTGGTTGTGTGTGTGTGTGTGTGTGTGTGTGTGTGTGTGTGTGTGTGTGTGTGTGTGTGTGTGTGTGTGTGGTGTGTGTGTGTGTGGTGTGTGTGTGTGTGGTGTGTGTGTGTGTGGTTGTGTGTGTGTGTTTTGACGTG